TACTGGACAGGTCTCCAGTTCACCAGAGAAACTGGACAGGTCTCCAGTCTCCATCAGGGAAACAAAAGAGACAATCCAACCATCCACACTCTGTCACACCTAGAGTCACACAGAAGAGCTCCAGAAGGTTTCAAACTGAGAACTCTGGACTCAGATCATCTGCTGCACACAGCTCTGATCATTTATTATCAATAATAATTTTATTGATAATTATCATGAGTCCTTAACTAGGATGTAGTTAGGCAATCAAATATTCATGTATGTGTAAATTTATTACCATAATTGCAGGTGACTCACATAAATTTATGTTTTTATAAAACAAGTAGTGCCCCCCAAGACCAATTTCCTAGGGGAAACACTGCTCTGGACTCAGATCATCTGCTGCACAGAGGTCTAATCACTTTATTGATAATTATCTTGAGTCCTTAACTAGGATGTATTTAGGCAATTAAATATTCATCTATGTGTAAATTTATTACCATAATTGCAGGTGAGTCGCGTGAATTTATGTTTTTATAAAACAAGTAGCACAGCACCCCCCCCCCTCTCCCCAGACCAATTTTCTAAGGGAAACACTGTAATCTATTTAATGTTTTAAATCAGTGGCTCCCAAAGTGCGGGGCGCAGTGCCATTGCAGGTGCGACGCGGCTTGAAGGCACAGTCTGTATGATTTTGTCAATTCTTTTAGCCGAAATTGAGATAATCACTAATGACAATAATATGGTCGCGAGTCGCCACTACAGGCAGCCGCCATCTTGCACTGCCATCTTGTCTACGAAGGCCGCACGGCCGAATGCGAGCACATTCCGCGCGCACTCCGCACCCACTTTGAGCGCGTTCCAAAGCACGACTATAAAACTCAGCCTTGTACAGCAGGGAAGCGCTGTGGGAAAGAGTGACAGTCAGACTGTCTTTCAAAAAAAAAAAGTAAAAGCATAAACGGGATGACTGTCACCCCACCGGAGCGCGCACAGACTTGGAGTGCAGAAAAAAATAATCTGCAAAGTGTGTAGAAAGGAATAAATACAAGCAATTTGTTTTACCACCTTAAAAACAAAGCAGGTTATTCCAAACAACATCCAATGGATACTGATATCTATTACATTAAAAGTTATTTTGTGTGTGTGTGTGTGTGTGTGTGTGTGTGTGTGTGTGTGTGTGTGTGTGTGTGTGTGTG